GGAACGGACCTGAGCCCTGAGGGACAACACAAGCCAGTGGCCATGGTGTTTAGGAATCCCCCAACACCACCTTCTGAGTCCGCTCCTCCAAAAAGCATTGAAACCATTGTAGAACAGTGCTCCCAAGTCCCTTCCCAGAGAAGCAGCTCGGGGCCCTTCCACACAGCCATATAATCAAGTTCAATGTGTATTTTATACAGCTGTGTGGAAGGGGCTCCAGAACAATGCCATGGTCAATGGTAACAAGAGCTTCTGAGGATCCAGCAGAACCAACATGAACACACTACCCCTATCTAGTTTCTGTGTAAGTCATTCCAGTTGACAAAAGCTGTCTCTGTCCCTGAGCCAGGTCTGAAGTCAGATTGAAATGGATCTGGGGCCCCTTCCACACAGCTGAATAAAATCCCACATTGTCTGCTTTGAACTGGAATATATCGCAGTGTGAACTCAGATAACCCAGTAAAAAGCAGATATTGTGGCATTTTCTGCCTTGATATTCTGGGTTATCTGACTGTGGAAGGGCCCTAGGATCATCCATTTCATCCAGAAACCCCTGGAACTGGGGGATCACAATACTTCCCCCTCAAAAAAGGATATTGGTTGACCATTCTCCTATATGGTGGGCTCCAGGGAGAATTTTTTAAAATAGTAGTCTCAATAGTCTCTTTTAGGCAAGATGGAAAACTGGCTTTCAGTAGTGAGGCATTCACTTCTTCTGGAGAGCACTCTCAAGCCTCCCTCGGGCTACATTTGGAGCCAGTATGCATGTAACATCTTTCAGTACTCCAAGTATCCTGCTCACATCCTCTGGGTGTACAAACTGAAAAATAGTCATCAACACTAGACAAGAGGGACCAAAGTTACATCTATCCAGATCTGTGTTAACCACATAGTCCAGGTCAGAGCAGATCTCAGCTATTTTATTTACAACTGCTGTGCAAATTCCTCACATCGGGTTACTGAATGGTTTACAGGCTGCCCATGTAAAAACCCCATGGATTGCCTGAGACAGTTCTGTTGGGCAATGCCAAGGGAATGCACTACCATCACTACCAGCCCTGGTGTAGGCTTTCCATTAAGCTCCAGCCCAATTCCAGCCGGACTTGTTTGAGGCTTCTGCCATCATTGCTCTAGTCTCTCCCCCATTTGTTGCACCAAAGCCTTAGTGTTAACTCCATCTCCCCACACAACTTTTCCAGTTATTAAAGTTGCAATGGCTACTCCCCTGGGTGCTCCTCATTCCTCATGCTCTCTAAATACTCCATGTTTAGTGTTTGCCTTTTACTCTGCCCATGAAACAGTTTCTCCCACAGGGGTCAACTCCCTTTTGGTGTGGATCCACCTCCCAGTCAGCCCCTTATGTCCCTTCTTCATTAGTTCTTCAGCCACTGGTTCAGGCTTCTCTTGCAGGTAAGTAAATGGCCTTCTCATCAGGCAGGCAGCAGGTCTCAGAGAAGACAAGCCACGCCCACAGCAAACAGGTGATAATAGCTGTAGACCTTTCTTCTCTGGAGCAGAAATGGTGGTGGTGAGCTGCTTCTTCCTAGTGCACTCATCAGTGTGCTGCTTACAGCACATATGATTTGCAATGTGTATTTTTAAATGCTATTTCTGATAATTAACCATTTCAATAATAATAATAATAATAATAACAACAACAACAACTTCATTTTTGAACCCCGCCTCCATCTCCCCAAAGGAATAGGGGCGGCTTACTTGGGGACAAGCCCGAATTCAACATAGTTAAAATATAACACAACAGAATTCATAAAAACAATTTCAGCAGTATGAAACAACACACATCTATATAAATAAAAATGTAATGTTCGTTTGTGGGATTACCATAACTCAAAAACCACTGGACTAATTGAGACCAAATTCAGACACAATACACCTATCAGGCCAACAAGTGACCATCACTCATAAAAACACTGAAAAACACAGTAGAAGAGACATAAAAAGCCAAAAACAAAAAAAGTATTACAACGCATGTACAAAACCACATATATACACAAACTCACATATATACACATATACACAAAAACCGAACTTGGAGGACAATCTTACTTGGACAACGAGGGATCGCCTAAGTAAGTAAGTACACAAACACACACACACACACATATACACACACAAAACACATATACACAGACTGGGCCACAGCAATACGTGGCAGGGGACAGGTAGTAATATATAGCAAACATCTAACCAATATCAGTGGTCTGAGTAGTGCACAGTTCTGACCTCGGGCAGGCTTGCTAGTGCAAATCATTTGCAAAGGACAGAGCTGATGGATAAAGTGCTGAAGCCAGATGACAAGATTAGGAACTGGGGGGATGGGTAATGTAAAGTTAGGTAATAGTGGTAAAGTGCAAGAGGTGATTTTGGATCAAACTGGGGGCCAGAATTATTTAGGGAACTGTCTAGTCAAAAGCACAGTGGAACATCTGTCTTCTACATGACATCCCTTCAGATGTTATTTTAAAATGCTTATCATGTTACTCTCAGCCTTCTCCATGTGAAACACACTACAACTTCCATATAAGTGGTACCCATGCTTTTATTTATCCACTTCCAATAAAATACAATCTCTCTAAGCTTTTTCTCTGCTAGTATGACTCTATGGCATTTTGGGGTTTGGGAATATCATAAGTATTCCTTCATTTTAGAAGGGTTATCCACCCTATTGAAATGATGGACTTCAATAGGGTTATTCCACTAGGATTATCCACCAGTTCATGTATCCATGAGAAATCCGGGACACATTTGCTTTAACTACAAGGGGTTGTACTGTATATTAAACTCCCCAAGTAATGCTTCATAAGGATTGGTTTCCAAATCTTTGGTCATCTTAGTCATCCTTCTCTGAAAATGCTGCATCTGTTGTTTGTTCTCAGCACTTCTTCTCTGTGCATTTCTGAGTGTACTGATTTGTTGGCTGTTATTTTTGTGTTTTAAAAGAGGCTCTTGTAGGTTTAAGAAGGAAATGCTCCAAGCTGGAAGGGAAACAAAGAGCCATGTTGAGAGCCATCAGAGTGAAGAATACACTGTACTGTTAATGCAGTTGGTGACGGCCCTGGTGCTCAGCCCACTCCACTCCTGCTACTATTTTAACTGCCATGTTTCGGTGCTATGGAATCATGGGAACTGTAGTTTTACAAGGTCTTTAGTTTTCTCTGCCAGAGTCCTGGTGCCTCACCAAACTATAGCTCCCATAATTCAATACCATTGTGCCATGACAGTTAAAGTGGTGTCAAAATGCTTTAATTCTAGTGTACATGCACCCAAAGACTCCAGGAGACCAGAGCCTGAATCTCTGCTGTCACAGAAATCTACTAGGTGACATTGGGCAAGTCACACTCTCTCAGCCTCAGAGGAATGAAATGACAAACTTCCACTGAATTAAACTTAGCAAGGTCCGCCCTTAGTGTCATCATATCCAAAATGACTTAAAAGTCACGCAACAGGAAACTGTAGTCATTTTTAATCACATTTAGACTGCCATATAATCCAGTTTGAACTACATTATAATGGTGAATGTAGACTCATATAACATAGACTGAACCATATTGAACTGTATTATATAAAGCTACACTGCCGTATAATCCGGTTCAATGCCATTTATCTGCATTCCAAAACTGGATTATATGGCAGGGCTATAATCTTTTTCCTAATGGTTATTATACGATTCTTTAATTGGTTCTTCATAATTACTACAGAATTATAAAAAAATGTTTTACATTAATTGCTTATTTGTCACAATAGCATGAAACTAAAATTACATATATATGTTACATAAAACAATGCAAATGCAGATTGTTAATCTGGATGGACTTTCTGACGGTGCTATTCTTAGACACTAAAAGAAAGCACACAAGTTGCCCTTCCTTTATTTTACAAGTGTTTACCTTTTCCTAAGGAAGATTTTATCACTTCCTGGAAAAGTGAAGTTAACCTCTTCCTCCACTCAACAACACAACTTGAATACATTTTAAAGAACCATGGAATAAATGGTGAATCCTTTCACAACATAAATTAAAGCATTTATGTGAATATCTGACACAAGTCAGCACCTTCCAGGTCTGAAAACAGGATCACAAACCATTCCAGGAACATTTGGAAGTGCTGATGTATTTTCCTCCTGCAGAAAAGAAATAAAATTATAATTATCTGGAAAATAAAATTTGAGGTTATTAGGAAAGAGCCTTCCTACAACAGATTGTCTTATTTTCGCCCCATGAAGTATCAGAGCATAGAATCATAGCAGGAAGAGACCATAAAGGCCATCCAGTCCAACCCCTGCCATGTAGGAACACGGAATCAAACCACCCCCAACAGAGGTCCTTCCAGCCTCTGCTTTAAAACCTCCAGGAAGAGAGACTCTACCATGCTCCAAGGTAGCATATTCCACTGCTCTTGATGTCAGAAAGTTCAAATCCCTGTTCAGCCTTGGAAACCCACTGGATGATGTCAAGAAAGTCACTCTCTCAGCTTCAGGGGAAGCAAAAGCAAACTCTCTCTGAACAAATCATGCCAAGAAAAATGCATGATAGGCTAGTGTTGAGGTTGCCATAAGCAACAAATTTATTGAATTAAAACATTCATTAAAATTATAGCTCTGGAAATAAAAGAATATAATTAACATCTGGGAGAAACATTCAGATTTATACATAGATGAGATGCAGATTCATTTTATGAGGCAGAGATTGACAAGGAAACATTAACTTTCTCCATACCTATAGCCAACACAAATTAACAGCAATTCACTTTACAAATGAGCAAATAATTTAGGTACATTAAATCTTCATGTTAGTATTGTTTACAGGCATTCAAACAATTATCTCATATTTCCCTAATTACATACCAGACTGGAATAATCTGTTCCCAAGTATGATCACAGGCAAATGGCTAAAAAAGGTGAATACCTCCTTACTATTCAGCAATGTTATTCCAGAAAATGAAAGTGCACAAAGAACTGACCTTTCTGTTTGCTTTCCCAGGAAAGCATGACCTTGGCTTTATCGGAAGGTGCTGCTTCGGATAATCTATCTGTCAACATCACACCAATGGATGATTATTTCTCTTTCATCAACCGCATCCATGAGAAGCATTTGGAAGCTGTTACTGGCCAATTAAAAAGCCCAACTTCCAAACAAGCCAATACTCGGGACCCTAGCACCTCTTCCTAAATACCTAGATCTGAAAGACCATCTCCACCAAATCTACCATGCTTGGCTCCAACCTTTCTTCACCCCAGTGCTAGGGACCAGATTTTCTCCACCTCAGATTTGCAAACGTATTTTCTATATAGACTTCTCCGGACCCCAACTCCCAGAATTTCCTGGTAAGAGTGATGTCTGGGGAAGTTAGCAATTCTGATCTAAAATAAAGCAACAACAAAGTAATAGACCACTCTCAAAGCCTTCTCAGAAGTGTTATTTTTGGGACTAAAACTCCCAAAATTCCATGGAAAATGTGTTGCCTACAGGATTCTGGGAGTAAGTCGAAAAACCAACTATCCAAAGCTCTGAACTGAAATTATGTCTTCTCTTCAAGATGTGTTGTCCTTAGAAATAAGCATGCATCTTGTTCTCTGATCTATCTAATGTAGTATTGACTTCCCATTGAATATATGTACTTGTACTATAAAAGGCCTGTACTTTTACCTTTCCTAAGGACTCCCCCTTGATAAGCTCTATTTCAATATGTAATTGAAATAAAAAAAACCCTTTTCTTATATGTGTAGTGGGTGGTTATATATGTAATAAGATGACATCTGAACAGAACTCCATGAAATACTGGTCTATCATGAACATTATGAATCTCAGATCTTCCATGCTTTGCATTAAGAATGAGCTGGAATCCTAATTTAAACACAACATTCCTTTGTTTCATATGCACCTTATACACATAGCCTGACAGTAATATTTTCAATAATTTTGTGCATGAACAAAAGTTTGTTTCACTGGATTATTAGAAAACAAAGGTGCCACCATCTCAGCCACACATGTAGATAATCTGTGGCTATATGGCATCACCATCATTTCTGACTCCGAATTTATGTGCTACCAGGTAAGAAATCAATTCTTACACTTATACACACATCATTACTTAACAATAAAAAATGAGACACAATTAGCTCAGTGAAAAAGAAAGTGTCCAGTAACTATGCAGCACAGTAGCATTCCTAGAACACCTTTTAAACAGTAACAAAAAAACAATGATAGGATTTCAGTCTCAACCTACAATGTTTTGATTAAAAGTTTACTGAACAATTTTATTAAGGTGAGAAGGAATATCAAAATCAGTTAAGTAACCTGGAAGTAGGTCCTCTAGGGATGAGGAGGTATTCTTCTGGATAACTTTTTTAAACACCCCCCCCCCCCCCCCCCAAAAAAAAGTATCTGTCTCACTTATGTTGTCTTAGAACTCTTTTGAGTTTTATAAACGTAGGTGCTTTTTTGTTTTCATAAATGCATGCTGCTCTTGGATCATCACACATTTTCACCATGTCATCTATAGGTACTTTTTATGCAGTGTTCACAATGTCATCTTCATAATCACAATTGCCCTAATTCAACTATTTCACGTCACTGTCAGCCAATGAATAAACAATGGGAGTCTCATTATCAATGTTAAAAACTTCATTATCCATTTCTTCCAGCTTACTAATGGGCTTTGCAGGTATGTTTTTTGCATATGTGAGGAGGCCAGAAGTTACCGTTTTCTCACTTGATATACAGCATCCTTCAAATTCATCATCTTTTTCATCATCACCACGGAAGATAGTCACAGGCCAGAGGTTGTACCAGGCCTGCATAACTGTGTTTCTAGTTGCAGTGTTCCAAGCATTGGCAACAACATATACAATATCCTTCATGTTAAACTCCCTCTGAAAACCTTCCACACCCATGCCTTTGTTCACTGCTGCTAGCAGGCTGTTCAAGAAAAGGGGTTTATATTTAGTTTTCACTGATCTAAGGATACTCTGACTGCATGGCTGAATTAATGAAGTCACATTTGGGGGTGACATGGCATGAACATTGTTATGTATTAGAATATCAACCAGAGGATGAGCAGAACAGCTGTTAAGGAATAACAAAATATTGCCGTCATCATCCAGTCCAGTTTCCCTGCAGTGAGATTGATCTGCAGGTACACAATGTTTGTGAAACCAATCAGAAAAAATATCATTGCTGATCCATGCCTTTGGGTTAGCATAGTCACGGATTGGTAAGTAAGTTACTCCTTTAAAACAGTGAGGATGCAAGTTTTTGCCTATCACAAGTTTACACTTGTGTCTGCCTTTTGCATTAGCAAGACCCAGCACAGTTATTTTGTCCTTGACATCCCTAATTCCTACCTCATCAGCTGTTGTCAGTGTCTTTCTGGGGCAATAATGCCCAAACCGTGATGTTTCATCAGCATTATGGACTTGTTCTGGGGTCAGAGTTTTATCAGAGAGGACTTTGACAAACTTGTAAATGAGTTTCTCCGGAGCTTTGTGATCAGATGCTTTACCACCCCGAATCTTTAAAAATGTAATGCCATGCCGTTTCTTAAACTTCTGCAACCAACCCTTTGAATATTCACAGTTTCCTTCAATTTTCAATTCATTGTGATAGATCTTTGCTTGTTTCATGATGAGCATACCATTAAGTGGCAGGTGTTCGATGCGACGCTGACAGATCCACTCTTTCAATACACGATCAAGATCTTCATTTTTAGCTTTATGCAGTGTTTTTCTATTTTTCATTAACTTTTCTTCATCACTTTCAGCATAGAATTTCAACAGTTTATCCTTCTGTTTCTTTAGATCATATATAGTGGTCATTCCAACACCATACTCTTGTGTAAGATGTTTCACACTTACACCACTGTCCAATTTCTCCAACAGCTTGACTTTCTGAGCTATGGATAAACACAAACGCTTCCTCTTTTGATTTGTGCAGAAAGTCCTGCTGGTCTGCACATGTGCCATTTTATTACACGTTGCGAGTGTACTTCCGTCCCTCTCCAGATTCGTGTCTTGTTTGTTCACTACTTGTGTTCTGGATGAGATGTGAGGGTGGAGAATGAAAATCTGTAAGACGGTCAGAATCCAAGCAAAATGCTTAGTGTAAATCTATACCTCTCATTATTTTAGATTCTCACATTTTGTTCTAGCCTTGGATCTCTACCCAGCTTAGTGTCTTTCTCCAGTCTCTTCCTTGGAACTTGTCAGACACCCACATTAAGCCTACAAACCTGCAGAACCACAGCCGTTGCCTTGAAGGAGTGGGATTTTGGAAGAGTTTTGTGATTGGGATGCTTAGACTATGATTTTAAGTTCTATTCTAATTATGACTGACTATTTTTATAGCAACTATACACTGGGTTGATACTTTCATGAAGCTATCTCGTAGAACGCTTTCTCTTGATCAGTCAGACTGTTTTTCTTTCAAATTTGCATCATTTTACATTTGCTGACTGAATCTGAATCTCGTTTGCTATTTTAATGCCAATTCTCCCACTTCAGAGAGATTTTTTTTAGAACTAGTTGAAATTCTGTACTGCTGTAAATATATTTAACAGCATTGTGCCATCAATCTTGGTCATGTTATTATTCACCCACAACCCCAGACAGTTTATGACACGTTAAAAATCACCAGTACCATGGGAGATTTTTTCCAAATATGCTTAATTCATTCAATTTCAGCCAAACCCACTGTTTCAGTTATGAGGTCCAAAACAGAGCCAAGGCTTGGTTTCTGGTTGCTATGCTGGCAATTGACTTCGTTGGGGTGGTGGAGGCAGCCAGAGTTGTGGCAGTTGTCCTAATAATGGCTGCATTGCTGGTAAACTATTTCTCATCTAGTAATCCAAGTGCACCTCATAAAATACCAGGATATGCACTGTTCAGTCTTCTTGTATAGTGTTTTTATTCAAAGTCACTCAAATGAGAGAAGAGTCAAAGTGAAGCTAAAATGTCAAAAGCTGTGTACATCAAGAGGCAGGAAAAATGACAGAAACAGCTGACCATAATCTGTGTCCTCTTCTCACTCTCCAATATTAGCCTCAAAGGCTCTATTAGGTACATACAGAATCATTACTGGGGAATACCATGTAGATCTGTATTGCAAGTCTCTTCATTCTGTCATCACAGAGTCTTTAGGAAGAACACAATCAGTTTAAACTGAAAAGGACTATAGTGATGGCAAATTTCTTGAAAGTGCTTCACATTTGAGATATAACAAGCCATGCCATTACTCCTTTGCCATTTGCAGCAGCCGCTCCTCCCGCTTCTTCCGCATCCGCTCTTTGAAGTCTTCTAGCTCTTTTCTCTGCCAAAGAGAGAAGTGTCAGTTCCACCAGAAATCCGTTATGTAGATAACACAATTCATTGCTGAGGCACATTTACCTGGTAATCATTTTCAGGTGGATAGATCTCCCTCTGTGGGAACAAAAGCAAGAAAGAAGAAAATCATTTACGTACAAGAGTACATTGATAGCCTTGTTTTACATTTCACAAATTAATCCAAAACTATCCACTCTGAATTATCTCAAATAGAAGAAGGGTAGGAAAGTCAGAATGTTAGAGGAAATGAACAGGTTCCCTAAACTTCCTCAGTCTGTCACTGTCCCACCTAAGAAAGGAAGTACAAATGACAAAATGCAGTGCTCAGGTGTAAAGCCGAACAGGTTATATGAACTATTTTCTGAGATAGAATAGACATTCTGACTCTCATGCTAAAACAATATTCTTATCCCATCCAGTTTGCATTAGTGCAACATATATTTTTAAATAAACAAGAAAAAAAATCTCTGGAAGTACAACAAAAAGAAAAAAAACACAAAACAAACCCAGCACAAAGAGCTGAGCATTTTTCATAGTCTCAGAAGTGTGAATGGCAGTTGGAATATGAATGAAAAGCACAAATTGAATACGCTGCCTGAAAAGGATAGCTGTAATCCTGAAGAGGAGCATGCTGTTTGAAAAAGCATTTTGATGCAGATTCCACTTCCTGTTATTACTTAATCTCTTGCTTTTTCTGACATAACAGACCAAGAGTGACTCAAAAACAAGATCAAAACTATCTTGTGGGCAATGGCACAGTTCAACGCATCTGCCTTGTCAGAGCTAGAATCCAAGCAAGGGTTTCAATGACAATACAGTAAAAGAACAACAGGGTTTTTTTTTTCGCATTCCAAGCACAAAGCTGAAGGCAACAGCACTACCTTAGGACAGAAAGAAAAAGTCCCTGGAAATGACTATTCTAGACCATACCTTTACTCAATTTATAACTGTAAGTGAATACTAACCTTCCGTTTGACTACATATTCTTCAAAATATTCTGCCTGGTTTGAAATCCAGAACATAGCAACAGGGAATGTCAGATACAGCATCATCTAGAGAGGAAGGAGACAAGTCAGAAGGTGATACACTGGTTATATCAGCCCATCAAGGGTTAACACGCAGTTTCAATAGACAGCATCCAACTTGCTCCATGAGGACAAAGTCTCTCCCATCTCTCCTCTTCTGCTAAAGAGACTACTTAAACCCCTATGGAAGGGGGGGGGGGGGAACCTGCCAATATTCCTAAACTAAACTTCTAAAGATGCAATTGTTTCTGCATTAAAAAAACCACCATCTGATGCCACGAATCTTAAACACTGGGGCCTGAATCCAATTTGCATTATCCCAGGAGGTGCCCTTTTAAGCAATAAAATTTAAATAACTGTGGGTTATCATTTGGCAATTCATTCAAAGGGTCTACTGCACTTGGGAACAGCCATTCATTTAGCATGACCTTTGTAAGAAGGAGAACCAAGCAACCAAGAGCAGTAGAAAGCACTGTGCACAACAAGACAGCAAGACAGGTGATAATACCATCCTCGGCACTAAATCAAGATTATTGAATTGAATATTTGCCTTATATGTTGGAAACCACCCTGAGTCCCTTTGGGGAGATAGGGCGGTATACAAATAAAAATTGATTATATTATTATTATTATTTGTCCTAAATCATGGATATATAGGCATTTAAAAGGAAAACACAACAATAATAATATCCAGTTTTCTCTCCAAAATTGGGGTTCATAATTATAAAAGAAATTACAATAAAAAATCATATCATCCTAGAGCTGAAGCAAGGAATAGACACGACACAAGCTCCTACAATTATTGTCCCGTTATCTAGGTGGAGGCCAAAAGGGGATGCTACAGAGAGAGAAGGAGGGTGTGGTGTTTTTTTTTAATCATGTCAGAAGCAGCTTGGGAATATAGTGTTCCCTTGCTACTTCACGGTTTGCTTTTAGCGGACTCGCTGTTTTGTGGATTTTGAAAATATTAATATAAAATATAAAATATTTACGTCCAGTGGAGGCCAGGGACCCTGGCCTGAGTCACGACAGGAAAGGCCTGCCTCCCTGGCCTCCACAGACCCCGGAAGTGTGGCGGCCTGAGGTGTGGTGGGGAAGGCCTGCCTCTCTGGCCTGCCACTGCCTGTGTGGCTCCAAAGTGCTCTGCAGGGGTCTGTGGAGGCCAGCGAGGCAGGCAGGCGCCCTTGGGATGGGCCGGGAGGCAAGTAAGTAAGTGCAGGTAAGCAAATAATATATAAAATAATGTATACATATTGAAATTAATATGACGTCCCTACTTCACGGATTTTCACTTATTGCGGGGGTCCTGGAACGGAACCTCCGCAATAAGAGAGGGAACACTGAATACTGCAAGTTGCTTCTGGTGTGACAGAATTGGCCGTCTGCAAGGATGTCACCCTGGGAACGCCCTGATGTGTTACCATCCTGTGGGAGACTTCTCTCATGTCCCTGCATGGGGATCTGGGGCTGACAGATGGGAGCTCACCCTGTCTCACGGATTTAAACTGCTGACCTTCAGGTCTTTCAAGTCAGCAATTCAACCGGCAGAAGAGTTTAACGCTTTGCGCCACCGCTGCTCTGTTGTATGACATGGGGAGGGGGAATAAACAGTGAAAACAGGGAAAACGGTTTTCCTCCTTCAACTCCCCCCCCCCAATAAAATGGAGCACCCTCTCTCTAGCGCCCCTTTGTGGCCTCCACCCGGATAATGGGATAGTACCGTGTCCCACTTTACTCTCAAAACAACTTAACTTTTTTTAAAGTGCAATTAAAAACATATCACCCCATAGACAATGAATGGCTATGGTAGAATTGAGGGCTTTTTAATTGTAAGTCCATTTCGAGCCTAATGTTTTGGAGAAAGCAAGATGATTGTGATAATTACGAAATTATCACATTATCGCCAGTATTATTTTATTATTTTTATTGTCATCATGAGCCAACTTCCCACCCGCCTCAATCCCTGGCGTCCAAAGGGGCTCACGGTTACATTCACACCCCTCTCTGCGAAGGCCGGCGGGCCCCTCCTCCCTCCCCCATTCCCCGGGAAACCTGGGCTACACACCCGGAACACCTCCAGCTTCACTCCCATCGCGGCGGCAGCGGCAGACGGTCCCTGACCCGCTCACGCCCCCAGACTCCATTGACTCCGCCCCGAAACCCTGTCCAAGATGGCGGGCGGGACTAACATGGCGGCCGAAGGAGGAAGAGAAAGAGGAGGGGCGAGAGCTGCGGAGGACACGCCCCCCGCTCAAGGGCAGCCAATCGGATCAGGGAGAACGCCGCGCAGCCAAACGGGGGGGGGGGGGGGGGGAGAGAGAGAGCTGGAAGGTTGATGGCCAACACCTCGACGTCATTTTTGCGCGCCGTGTTTGGACTGAGCAGGAAGAGGCCGCGATGCCGGAGCTGGAGACCGTGCTGGGGAAGCGGGATCTTTTCTTCGTGAGTAGGCCGCGAGGAAGCTGCGAGGGGGCGGCGTGCTCGGGTTTTATCACTGCCTAGTGCCCGCGTACAGAGTCTTGCCTTCTAGTTATGAAGCAGATTGGACTGCGCGAGGAGGAGGCTGATGGCCTTTCATAGAATCATAGAATCAAAGAGCTGGAAGAAACCTCATGGGCCATCCAGTCCAACCCCCTGCCAAGAAGCAGGAATATTGCATTCAAAGCACCCCTGACAGATGGCCATCCAGCCTCTGTTTAAGAGCTTCCAATGAAGCAGCCTCCACCACACTCCGGGGCAGAGAGTTCCACTGCTGAACGGCTCTCACAGTCAGGAAGTTCTTCCTTATGTTCAGATGGAATCTCCTCTCTTGTAGTTTGAAGCCATTGTTCCTTGTCCTAATCTCCATGGAAGCAGTAAACAAACTTGCTCCCTCCTCCCTGTGGCTTCCTCTCACATATTTATACATGGCTATCATATCTCCTCTCATCCTTTTCTTCTTCAGGCTAAACATGCCCAGCTCCTTAAGCCGCTCCTCATAGGGCTTGTTCTCCAGACCCTTGATCATTTTAGTCGCCCTCCTTTGGACACATCCCGTGGCCTTCTGAAGCATGAAATCATTACGTAAACTCGGTATCCGCTGGGATTTTGCTCCAGCTCCCTGGATCCCAACATCAGTGGGTGCTCAAGGTCCATTCGATACAACAACGTTATAAAACGGGGTCCCATGCTTAAAATGGCAAAACCAAGGTTTCCTTTTGGAATTCTTTGGAATATTTCAAACCATGGGTGGTTGAATCCGTGGACGAAGAGGGTCAATTATAGCCCTGCTAAATGGCAAGCAGCTGGGTGACTTAACCATAAAAAGGCTAATCATGATATAGCCAGTTGAAGGGAGAGGTTGACAAGCTGGAATATGTCCAGAGGAGGGCGACTAAAACGATCAAAGGTCTGAAGAACAAGCCCTATGAGGAGCGGCTTAAAGAGCCTGCCAGTTTAGCCTACAGAAGAAGAAGACATGATGAGGGCCATGTATAAATATGTGAGAGGAAGTCATAGCGAGGAGGGAGCAAGCTTGCTTTCTGCTGCCCTGGAAACTAGGATGCAGAATAATGGCTTCAAACTACAGGAAAGGAGATTCCATCTGAACATGAGGAAGAACTGGGTTGTTGTAGGTTTTTTCGGGCTGTATGGCCATGGTCTAGAAGCATTCTCTCTAGCGGGCTGAGAGTGGCGGTTAACAAGTGCAAATAATAAATAAATAAACCTACAACAACCCAGTGATTCCGGCCATGAAAGCCTTCGACAATACATGAGGAAGAACTTCCTGACTGTGAGAGCTGTTCAGCAGTGGAACTCTCTGCCCAAGAGTGTGGTGGAGGCTCCTTCTTTTTAGATTTTTAAGCAGAGTTTGGATGGCCATCTGTCAGGAGTGCTTTGAATGCAATTTTCCTTCTTGGCAAGGGGTTGGACTGAATGGCTCACAAGGTCTCTTCCAATTCAATGATTGTATAAACACCTTCAAGACTTTGTATCAAAAGAGGTGGAACTACCTGTTCTCTGCAAGATTGTTTTGTTGCAAGATGTCCTCATGGAACATATACCGTAACATGACCAATGAGTGCTATGGCTATGGCAGCATGTTAAAGGCCTCTGGCTCCTGTCAGATAGGAATTTGTCACTGTGTCATTGCAAATTATTTGACAGCAGGTTCGGACCACTTAAAAATTAATTTGGTGCTTAGTAACACTAGCAATGGTTCTCTAAACTGAATTGGTATCATTGTTTCAAATTATAGTTAAAGTTTGTGAGTTACAAAGGCTTACTAAAGTCAACCTAATAAGTTTGTGATTGGGGTAAGATTGGAAAAATGCAGTCTTGACATTCTTAGCTACATGCATGTTGAGTTATGAATTCTTCCCATTTCCTAGTCTGGATGTAGCTCTATTGATGTATCAAAGCTGTTTTTTCTTTTCAAATCTAATGATGTTTCCTCTCCCCCCCCCCCCCCCCCCCCCCCCCCGCACTCTTTGCACATGCAGGAGGAGGAAGACCTACAGTATGAGGAGGAAATCCTGCGTAATCCTTTTTCTGTCAAATGCTGGATTCGTTACATTGAATTCAAACAGAATGCCCCAAAGCATATTCTGAATCTGATTTATGAGAGAGCTCTTAAAGAATTGCCAGGGAGGTAAACAGTAGTTTCATCGAATAAAAATGTGCATATTATATACAGGGATTGGAAACCTTTGCTCTCTAGTGGATGCAGCTCTTACTTTCCATGATCATGGTGTAAGCATAAGGGCAGGACTTGTCCAGTAGTGAGTATTTAAGTTTTAAGTGTTCTGTGTAGGGCCCAAGCATCCAGATAGAGCTATTCATTGGGGCTTCCTTCTGAATAAACATGCATGTAATCAAGCTATGGTATTTGTTTCAGAATTGGTCAGATCTGATAACTTGGCCCCTCAGGAGACAAAAAGGTTTCCCACACCTATGGCAGGATAAACTTCCCTGTTTACTTTTATTTGAAGAATAATTATTATGATGAGGGGGGGGAAAAGACAAATAAAGGGGTTAATCTTCAGTTGTCTGAAATTACTTAACCATAATCTAATTATATATATTTTTGGAAGGTGGTTGACAAAACTTTGGGAGATGGATCCCCTTTGCTGTCCTAATAAGATTTGCATAAAGATAGTAGAAACAACCAAACCGAGCTAGAGGATACTCAGATGTTAAAAGAGTCTTTCTTCCATTGCATTTTGCAGCTACAAGCTATGGTATAATTATCTTAAGCAGCGACGGAAACAGGTGAAAAGCAGGTGTGTAACAGATCCGAGCTATGAAGAGGTGAACAACTGTCACGAGCGCGCCCTTGTCTTCATGCACAAGGTACAGTGGTGTGGAATAAGCCTAGAGAGGCAGTAAAGCTTTGGAGGAGCAGCAGAATAATTATGCTTTGCTTGTGGTTATGTTATTTAGTAGGAGGCTGAGATTTTTTAGGGCACAATACAAGACACTGTTTATGATCTATAAGCCCAATATTTCTCAGGTCCAGACTTTCCAAAAGATCCAGTCTCCCTGTGTTAATATACCACTAGGAAGGCTTTCTCTTAGGGCATTTCCAGACAGCATAAAAATACGGGTTTTTAAATGGAGAACAAAAAAAAAACCAGGACCTGAGAACACAGACCTGTGGGTCCTGGGATTTCTTCCCCCTCTGTCCTTACAGACTTCCTCTGTATTGGAACAAGATGGAGGCTGGATAGAGGACATCCAGCAGAAGGTTTTGTTTCTTAAAAATCACTCCATTATGCACTAGACCATATATGCACACATGCGAATATCTTAACAAAAATACAGCAGATTTGCATGTGCGCATATGAGGTTCAGTGGATAACTGAGGGGATTTTTCCTTTTCCCCAAGTGTTTATTCAAGCTCTGTTTAATATTATAAAGTTTAAAATAAAGAGTTTCGGAGAATTGTAATTGCTGTCTGTTTGTAATTCCTTTAAATCAACTGTGTGTACCGTTTCATAGCCAAATAAGCCGATCAGCTGTTTGGGGCTTTTTAGAAGGGGGCATGCGCTGAAGTAGTCTCTACAGGGAGGAGGGAAGGAAAGCACATGTTTTTTGCAAGTGCAGTGATGCAAATATGCGCATTTTCTGGCCAGAATCAGGATAAAAGGGGACCTATTTACTCATGTTTTTCATCAGTTGCAGCAAATCAGCGCAGATTTACTGTGCTGATTTACCTCGAGAAATCCTGTGTTTTAGGTGCTGCCTAAATGGGCCCTGAGTCCTGCTACTACTACAGGCCCACCTGGTTAAGGACTCAGAAGCTTCTCACTGGCTGTTCCCAGCTAGTGTTCTCACTAGGCCAGTGTCACTCTGTAATCCTTTCACTCGCTTTTTAAAAATTATTTAAACAGGCTTTTAGTTGGTTGCATGGAATTATTTATGGTGTGTGTATGTGTTGTATTTTTAACTGAAATAATGTATTTTTTAAAATTAATGGTGTTTTAATGGGCAGATCATTTAAATGTGTTTTCACTTTTTTTATTATCAATTTTTAGTTTGTCTTGTTTTTAAGGTTTTTTTCTATACTGGGAGAAAGGCGGCATTTAAATTAAACAAATATGGTACATTAGAGAAAAATTAATTGAATGGTTTTTAAGTTAACACAAGCATAAAAGAGCCCAGAAGAGCTATATACCAAGTTTTGCCACCCAGGAATGCAAAATGAAAGTACTATTAAAAAATGAAGTCATCAATTGAAGCCCATTTAAAGCAGTAGGCTTAGGATAATAAAAGAATTAATGGAACATGTAATGACTGACAGAATTGTGTAGGGGTAATGGTGATAAAGCTAACTGGGTTTTTGGACTTAGAATTAGATAAATGAGTGGAAGACAGACGTGTGAGTGCCCATTATGCAAAACAGCAAAGAATGGGATCTGTGTATTCACAAGCAGTTCTTTCTTGATTACTGCTTGCTGTGAACTTCTCAAAGGGCAATATGGACTTTCAGTCAGATCAAAGAAGGATGCTGTTTCATTCTAATTATCCTGTGTGCCCATAGATGCCTCGCATATGGCTTGATTACTGCCAGTTCCTCATGGACCAATGTCGGATCACTCGTACACGCAGGACCTTTGACCGGGCACTCCGGGCCCTACCCATCACACAGCACCATCGTATCTGGCCACTTTACC